CAGTTTTACGCTACTTGATGACCCAATAGGAGCAATTAATGGAGGGCTTTAAGAAGGTTTTCCGCTTCCCAATCTCAAGCAAATTATTTTTGGTTGGATCACCAGAGTCGTAGAAGACGTGTTGGCAATTGCTTTTTTGATGGATTTAAGTAAGTGAGGTTCTAGGCCGTTGGCTATGTTGACCCAGTTGGTGCACCTTTGTTGGGGCAAAATTTGTCGCTACTTTCAACGTTTCAGTAGTTCTGGTTTCATCTGGATCTCGAGAGCAGTGGATGATGGATGACCTAAACTATACCAGCAATTCAAAAGCATGAACTTCTCTAAAGTGCTGATTTAAATTTATTTTTCAGTAAATAAATAAAGCAGTTTGGGGAGGAGTACTTTGGCGGGATGGAAGGAACAAACATTACTAAAGCGCCAAAAACTAGCCATAAAGGTGGGGTGGGATTTTGTAAACTTACCGAGTTAATAATACGTGGAAATATAAAATCCCCATTTGCGTAATGCCTCCTAGACTCCCACTTTTCCATCCCTATTTCTGGCACTATTGGCATGATTCGCTAACCATTTCTGAATTAATTAGCGAATGCACTGTTGGTTGACCGCCCTTGAGTTAGGCTGTTTGATTAACGCGGACAATCTTCTCGAGTTAATTTAAATTATGGAGAAGGCGCTGCTTTAATTTTAAACTAAACTTGCAGAGAATCACAGTACATAGGTCGACTACGTGTTCTGCTGGTTTACCAAAAGTCAACTTTTTTAAAGGAACAGAATATAGGAGTACCTTGTTTTAACGGCTTCCCAGTTGTCGTATGATTCACTATATTTTCTTGGTTTGGCGTTGGGAGTCTTTGAAGCAGCTGGTTGGATGCCGCTGCTCTGCCTTCCCATCCATTGCTATGCCCTGACAATTCAGGTTGAAAGCTGTGCACTGACCGTCCACCAACCCTTCATTTGTGTAGCCTGTAAACCCTTGGTTTGGTTGGTAATTTGTAGCCTTTTCCTTTAGAGGCTTGGCCCGCGAGTAAGCGGAGGCTGACATGCTCTACTTAAATGTTACAAGCAGCTTTGCGGGTGTGCAAATAGTAAAATGGGATTTTCAAATACGTCATGTGATCGCCAACTAACATTACTTGGAGATATCATATGGCTCGTATTACCTTAGTAACCGTCTCAAAGTTGCTTAATAGTATGTAAAGCTTGGAAGTAGTCAGGTAAAATTTTAACAAGTGTTCATCCGTAAATTGCTTCAAAACTTCAATTGATGATGCTAAAGCTAGTAGATTTTTAAATCAAAGAGATCATAATGACTCGAATCTAGACCCCGAAACGCTATTGGATCCGAAAACAGCTCAGAATTCTCCAAAAAACGACTTTAATAAGTTCAAAGATGCCCAGATCGAAGTAAACACCACCATGTACCCTTTTAACAGCATACCGTTGCTTGCATTTGGATCTGACGGCTTCTAAAATCTGTTTATAAATTGTCTTACGAAAGTTTGCTGAATTTCTAGTCAGCTCTTGCTACTGGTGCACCGAGTAGTGGGTGTGCATACCACCTCCAGCTTTTCTGGCGAACTCCCGAGAAGTTTGATGTAGATTGCTTTTGCCCTACCAGTTATTGGCGAAATAGAACCATCGGGCGCTGGATAATTTAAGCTTAGGTCGTGGGCTTCGCCAAGTCGTCTGAAGGACCTACTTTTTTACCCCATCAGGGGAGAAATTGGTCACTACGGGCAGGCGATGGTGGAATAGGAAAGGTATTTTTGGGATTTATTACCGCTGAATCTTGTACGGTACTGGTTTTCAAAAATATCCTGTTTTAGCTCTACTCTGTGGTAAAACGATTTCTGTACGTTGGAGATGATACTAACGAGTAAATGACGCTATTTTATTAATGAGAGTGGAGATGAATGGAAAATGTGGAATTGGCACCAGGTGGGTGAGTTTGAGGACTACTTTTCTCTAGGAGGGTATTAATTTAGTTGCGTACTCGCACTTAAACCCATTTCAGTAATAGCTCCACTGTTTCTGCCCCTCCAAAAGCGATTTCATACACAATGCCCGTATTGATGCCTAAGGTTTTTAAACGGCTTTAATGTTTAAAGATCTCCAAAAGGGGCGTGGTTTGTCAAGTTGTGCAACCACGCAGTGGCAGCAGTACGCGTGATTTGGAATTTCACTTTAAGTGGTCCTGCTAAGGATGTGATTGGGTGGAAGATCTGGAGATCAAAGCAAATCAACCGTACCTCGCTACCACGTGTTCCATATCGCGTTTCGGTCTATGTTGTTGTCATTACCAAGAAAGTGACCTTGATCAACTTGTAGCAGTGAGAATTAGACGATACTCATGAACAAGGCAGTGTGCTGGTTTCCCATATGCTTTGCCACGTTGATATGACAGTTTTTGACTACCTTGTCCTTAGTTGTCATTGATCAGTGCATGCATTTTAATTCCAACCATCTTATCATCTATTTCGCATCAAAAATATCAAATGTAGTTATCCCTAACTCCTCTAGGCTGCATCTGGGGTCCTACTTTCCCGAAGGTTGGCTCAATCCCCTTGTCGAAGTCAAAGTGGGAGGCTTAAAAACCTCAGCGAATGTGCTGTCCTGTGATTCGTTGACGCCAGTCATGCTAGTTTTACAATTAAGTCATCTTTCGACTTGTCACTGACGTTGTTTTCCCAGGGGAATGTCAAATAAACAGAAACAAGAAGCGGAGTATAGCACACCATGGTCAAAATAATAAAAATATTAAGTTGTAGAAGCCGATATCGATGATACAGGCATGGAATGCTTTTGAAGATCTGGTTCACGTTTCGGCAAAAAAGCTTTTACGGCAAAAGTAGTATCTACAGTAGAAGTTTGCTTATTGCTGTCAATTGTCTATTTGAGGAGATATAGTATTTTTCAGATTTGCCACAAAAATGCCTCCAACGATGGTGTTTGAATCGGCCCATACAAGGTTGTTCAGGCCTTGATTTAGTTACTGTGTTTGCCCTGCATCGGGCGCATTCTCCCCTTCTCTTGTCCGTCTTTTCTTCTGTTTCAGCAGTAATCTCTACCCGTATTGATATCTCCACTTCAACTCTAACTAAGTCAGCTAATCATTTGTGGTTTCCAGAGGACAAGTGCTGAGGCTTTCAGCTCATCACTGGCATTTGTTACTTAGGTCCCAGTTCAGTTCAGCTGGCTCAGTTTCACAAGGCTACCAAGCCCGAAAATAAGCCGACTTTCTAATTGGTTTGAATACTGAGTGTCCAAAACAGTTTTGCTGAGGTAAAGCTGACCAAGTAAAAGCACCTAGTGAAACATTTACGAGCAAAATGAATGAAGAACAGACGAATTTGAGTGTCGCGGGGACGATATCTGTAGACCTTTCATCGCATTATGGATAAAGAGTAGTTGTCCTCTATTTCTATTGTTTGGACCATAATTCAAAGTCCAAATACTTGTGAGACATGACAATTGAGAAAATTTTTCGTACATGCTGATAGAAATGTGTCATCTACCACCAGTGCTGATTCTTCACTTACTGATAACTAGGGGGGAGTTGACGGTGGGGTTTCCGGTTCGCTTAAAGCATGCTGTCAACAGCTTGAAAACGAATGGTCAGGTCTCCAACAAATTGCCCTTTCATTTGTCCGCTTTCCTGTCGTTTCGTTTGGCCATCTGAAGAGGGTTTCGGTCCGTCTCTTTACTCACTTCCAACTTGCCTGTTTTCGTTAACGCGAAGCTGTCACCTCAGAACCTGTGCTCAAACGTGTGAAGGTTTAGTAGACAATGCTTTGCAGGAAACCATCATTATCACAATTCCCTTCTACATCTGCTCGTTTATTTTTCCATCCACAGGGGCTCTTTCGGCGGCTTCCAACTCTCGCAAGTGCAGTGTTTCGAAGTGTAAATAAACGCATACTTCAACGTGAATGCTCTTCCCTGTCCCATCTTCCCCATAACCGCCAGCTTCAAAGTGTATATCGCGCGTACTCTTTGTTAGCCTCCCATCGCAACTGTTGGTTTCATAAATAAATAATGAAATTACATTTCCTGCTTTGCGGTTAGGTGAAAAGAGAGCAGTGGTGATGAAGATTGGGTGTGAAAGGTAGAGGCAAATTGATCTCTGCATGTGTTTGCATTAAGGCGGGACTGGAGGGACATGACGAAGTCGCCTGGAAATGGGGTTCTGTAAATCACGTGCCAGTGTCAAATGTCGGGAGGAGGTGAAAACTGTGTTCATGCGCAATCGCCACGGCTCGTCTGTCTGGAATGCCGCTTTCTGGATGACAGGTAGGCTTGCGGTGGTGAATGGAAAGCCGAGCGAATGCATTTGCGCATTAATGAGGAAGAGGTAGGTATACAAAAGGAAGTGGCTGGAAAGTGTCGCGTGAAAGTGCTAAATGCTAGGAGGTGATTGTCATCTTTGAGGGCACACGACCCCATTGCCCCGAAATGGGCTAAAAATGTGGTCTGAAACTTTGTCAGCCTTCAAGCCAATCCACTAATCCGACTTCCAAGCTTCGGTGAAGGTGGTGATAGCACTCACAGGCTGTTCAACAGTGACTTCCATCATTCTGGAGTTAGGGCGACGTAACAATGCTAAGATTCTGCAAGGGGTGTTTACAAATTCAGACACTCAAGAAATGTTTTTTTTTTTTGCGCTTTCCTTCTAGTTTGTTATGCTTGGTTAGCATTGTGTGCGGCTCTAAATGGTAACTGTCAAAATCCTTCCCTATGTCAGCCCCTCAAAAACGCAGCCTGAGGATGTCAGCTGCGTAAAGTCGTTGCAAATACCACTGGATGCACATTAGATGCTCATTGCAATCATCCGCATAAATTAATCCCCAACTTCAGAGCTCACCTCCAATTTACACTATTCACAGGATTATTCCATCATCATGAAGGTTACTCCAGCAATTTGGTTACAAGCTTATAAAGCGCCACCCATCGATTGACCTCTAAAGTGTATCCCTCATCGCACCATATTCACTTCAAATGCTTCAATTTGTATTTTCTTTTTTTTTTTCAATGGCGTAATGCAAGGTGTCTGACATTGGCATGCATTGAGAACGTTTGTGACTTTCATTTCTTTGCGTTAGCTGCCACTCAGCTAAGTCAACAATACAACTAACGCCATATTAATATTCCAAATAGGGGCGGAAACATCTAGGAAATCTGAATCGGCTCATTTTTGTGGCAGAATGGGGCAAATTCCTTCTACAATCTTAGTGCATTAGTAGGCGATCATACAAGTGACTTGCTTCACAGCGCCCGAATTCAAAGCTGATTGCCGAGGAGACCAACCATTTGAATAGGCGGACATTCGTTGAACTAACGAGCGAGTGTCTGGCGCAAAATAAAAGGGCAGAAAGCCCCATGCCAGAGTAGGTGGAGATTGAGGTGCCTGCGGTGAGAGTGGATAAAGCCGGGTACGAATGCGAATTCATTGTTAAAACCAAACAAGATGGTCTATGCAGGCCATTGTCCCGATGAAAATTGTGCCACAGATACTTGTTGGAGCTGGTGTACCGTTTTTCCTGCCTAGCCATTCATTCTGCTTTTAATCTAATCATTCTAGTTTCCTTAATGCTCTAGTCTTAAATCTTCAGGAAGCACCAATAATAGGTATTTGGGGGTTGAAGAACTCCAGCTGTGGAGTCAAGTCTTATTCTTAATTGTGCGAATTCAAAAGGGCATTTCGTCCCAGTATACCTTCTCCTCTTTATCAACAAATGGCGTAAATTATGCGTGAATGTGTGATAACAAGCCATGCAGACTCATCCCATCCATCGCTTTCGTGGTAGCACTGTCGCGGATCAAAAAATTCCCCACGTAGATGCAATTTGATGAGCCATTAGGTGTTAAGCTTGCCATCAACTGCCACCGATTTCGATGACCACGAGGAGTGCCATCCTACCACAAATATGACCGGGTCTAATGCACTTCTATCTGCCGTTCTTAACATCTCCAGCATTTGGTTGTGATAATAGAGGGTGAAATTGTTGTCCGTGCCATTTCCAAGACAATTTTACTGCGAATCTGTAGGCTAAGGCCAATTTCTTCCTTTAAGTGGTACCAATAAACTGCAAAATGAGAAATAAATGGGCAAGGTGGTGGGATGTTACCACCGCGCCAAGATGTCATTGTTGTTTCTGCGACTTCGTATCCACTCACTGGAGTTGAGCGACTGCTTTGGTGAAGCCTTCATGGGAAAGGCATGTTCAGTGTATCATATGCAACGACTCCTTGGGATGCAATGAAGCAAGCATTCCTCTTCATTTACACCATCATCTCTACATGCAGCCTGCACCTGAGAACGGTGCTACCGAATTAACTGTCTGTCTTACATTTTGAGTTTAAACAAAAGTTGGCGCCTTACAAATGATGCAAATTGTTTCCACTGTTTCAATGAAGGTGATGCGAATAGTGTAGGAATTAAAAGGCAATTTTTTTGAAAGAAGGAACAAAGTGGTGTTGAACACAGTGGACTGATGTATAAAGTTGAGGAAATCATTTTACTAAACAAATCTGTTAATCGTTTCAATGGAAGGAGAACTTAAAACCACTGAGTAAATTCAGTCCAGTGAGGGGTGTGGTAGACGTGAGCCAATCAGTGGGAACGAGGGCACCTACACGTGAGGTATAAGAGAATGATCAGGAATATTGTGTAGCTATTTGGCCTCAAAATGGGGTGCGCAATTGTGGGTCAGTGCCTGTTTCTCTTTGCATTCATCTACTCCACTTTCTGCGCTAATAAAG